GGGCCGCAGAAGAACCGCGTCGGAACGTTCTACGCGCCGGTCGGGGCCTTTCTCGACAAGTCCTTCATTGCCACCCAGGTTCGTGTGCGAGACGACGAGTGTAGGCGCACGAAGCAGCAGCCGGGCTTCTTTTTTTGCGATGTGTTGCCAGCAGAGGAATGGATGGGTTATTTGGCGTAAGACTGAGTGCCGATTTTTCTTTTCTTTTTTTCAACCAGTGAGAGCGTTTGTTGCTGCGTTGTAATTCTATAATAGTAGCTTTTTAACGAATTTTACAAACAATCAAACAAAAACTACCCTTTCGAGATAAAACCACAGCAGTCGAAGATTTTTGTCTCGTCGTCGCTCTGTCAACGCTCCCGTCCCGTGTACCATGCTGCTGCCGCTGCTGCTGCTGCTTTCGTCGGTCATCTTGTTCTTGCCTTCGTACAGGATGAGCGCAACATTATCAACGGCCTCGGAGAGATCATGAAGCTGGCGCTGGTGCGGTCCACGGAGCTGTTCTCGCTCCTCGAGCTGCACGGTGCCCGCCTCGTGCGCGAGCGCTTTCAGGTGCGTTCGAAAGAAAAAAAATACACGCGGCAAATGAAAAATATTTACACGCAGCAATGGAATTATTTCGTTTGGTAACGAGGGGGGTCCTATGGGGGTAGATGCCGCAGCTCGATTGCCGCTGGCCGGGCACCCGTGATAGAGCACTGCTGTTGTCGTGAAAGTTAGCCTGTGCGGGCCGAACTCCGGCAGCGTTGGCATGTTAGGTGATGCCGTGGCTCAATCATGAAGAACGCCGCCAATTCCAAGAGCAGAACTAAATCGATCGAAAGGCACCAACAATCTGCACCGCCGTGTCGCAGCGGGGGGTGGTCCTCTCGCCCCTATCGTCGTGTCGGAGCGAGCACGGCGGTATAGGGTCACCCCCCCCAAGTCTTGGCTGCTTTTCCCTCGTGTGATGCCTTCTTTCTCTTTCTCGCCCCTCCTTGCGCTCTCAACAAGTAAGTGTCTTTTTGGCAGCTCTTGGCTTGCCGCAGCTCTCGCTTTGACGATCTTCGTGCGACTGACTGACTGCCCCTTTTCATGCGGCGTGATGGTCTAGGGAGCGGATGGCGTGTCGGACCGCGTGATCGAGCTGTCGGTGCAGATCATGCTCGAGGAGCTAGGCCCCAACCTCTGGGAGCACAAGCTGGAGCGGTAAGATTTTCTGTTCTTTTGTTCTTTTCAGGAAAATTCGAGGGTTCGTTGGTGTTGCTTGGGGTTCCTTCTCGAAGCAGCGTGCAGGATATTTCGCTTTTGCGCTGGTCCAGTTGTTTTCGAGACGTTACACAACCCTGCTTGCAACTGGGTGGGGTGAGACACGCCTTTAGCCTCGCCTTGAAGGTGTACTTTTGTACTCGGACACGTTCGCTCCCTCCCCATCTTCCGCTATTTCTTGAGCTTGCTTTCGCGCGTGTCGGTGTAGCGACACTGTTGCTGTTGCGCGATCGATGTCAAGACTCGTCTATCTGTCGGCCTGCGATTTTACGTGCGACAGGGACGACCGTACTTCCCGCTTCGCCCCCCCCCTCCCGACCCCCCCCCCAAGGATGACAATGGTTCATTCTTGTAAAACGTAGCCTGGGCCGGCAAAACCCGGCATTTCGCTCCGTCCCGGCATCGAGGTCAACGGTATAACGACTACGGCATGCGTTTACAAGAGCACCCCCCCCCTCCCGGATGCTCCCGTCCCTCTGCAACAGTTGCGTGGACTACGGGCACACGTTCAGCAAGATCATCGAGATGGAGCCCGCGGCTGACATCATGCACGGAGAGGCCGTCAACGTGGACGGCTTCCTGTGCCTTGTCATCGCCAAGCGGCGCGGCATGATTACCGAGGCGGTGCTCGACCGTGTGTTCCGCGTGATGAAGAGCATCGGCCTGCCCACCATCCACGAGAGCGTGCAGCTCGCGCCGATGGTCAAGGTGAGCGAACAACCGCCCCCCGCCCCCCCCGCCCCTCCCAAGCAACGTCTCTCATGTCTTCGCGTTGTATACACGGTATTCATGCGTAGACTAGAGCAGACTACTGGTTTGCATGTACAGCAGTACTCCCTCTGTTAAGGACATACATGGTTCTTCGTGTAAGCAGGTGTCCTTTAGCCGGGGAAGTGTCCCCAAGGTTGATACCCCTCCTTATGTTGTACTTCACTCTGCGAGCCATGCCTGTGAAAGAAAGTTGTCTATAACCGGGGGAATGTCGTTAGAATTGGTGTCCTTACCCGAGGGATGACATTATGTGCTGTGTTTTTTGGTGGCGTCTTTTTTTTTAGGCTTTGCAGGAGAATAGATCCAGGAGACTATGGTACTCTTAGGTATCCTGCACGCACCACATGCCGACCCTCCTTCGGAACCGTACGCTTAGTAGCTCCGCCAGGCTCGCTGCACCCTTCAACAGAGCAACACCTTGCCTTCAGAGAGAGCATTTTAGCAAACCACGGTTATCATATTTGTTGGGTTTTTTGCTACTCGTTCAAACGGAAGGTTTGGTTTGAGAGAGGGCGGGGGGGGGGGGTGCGGAGCATACATACCTTTTTCAACCACCGATGCCGCAGTGAGAACTCCAAGCTCGAAAGAACAGCCCCGCTTTTCGTACTACATGGGCTGCAAGCCGTATGACCGAACCCCGTCCCCTTTTGTGTGACTCGACCCGCGGCTTACCTATGCCCTCCCCCGCCCATGTTCCTTGCGTTACGCGGTTAAAAAACCGCGGGAAATGTTATTAGGGTCTTGCGGACGCCGTCGAACACCGCCACGGCAAGCAGCGCGTGCCGCTCCTCAAGGGTGGCATCGGCTCTTCCGTGTGCGTGAACGACATCAACCCTGACGAGCTCAAGGGGGCCATCGCCGAGGCCTGGGCCCTGCATGGCGACAGCGAGGACGCAAAGCCTTAGTTAAGGTGTGAGGCGTTCTTGGCGAAGCATGCGTGTTTGTTCCTCCGTGGGGATGAGCTTTTTGAGCAAAAGGTGTGTGTAGACAAAGAGTCTGGGTGGGGGGCATGCAATGCGTCCGCTTGTTCCTCCGTGGGGACGAACTTTTTGAGAGAGCAAGGTGTGTAGACAAGAGAGTGTGGATGGGGAGTTTTGGCGAGTGTTTTGAAGAGAACGGGGTTGGTTGTTTGGTGGGGTATGTGCATATGGGAAAGGGTCCTGAGCTTGAGCGCTTGAGGAGCGAGCGGCTCGGCGGAGCGAGTGGTTGTATCAAGGGTTTGCTACACTCGCGGTGCCAACGGTAGGGCTTGCGTGTTAGGGGTTGAACTCCTATGGGCAAACAGAACCTCGTTTTTTTATGTGTTGTGTTTTTTTTGTCGGCTCGTCTGGTCGTACTGTTGAGGTTGAGTGCCTGTTGCTGGTGGTGAGGGTTGGCGCTCACGACTGACTGGTCACGATGGGAGGCATGCGGTTGGCGAAGTAACCCGGCGATTAGGTGTCGTGGCGGTGAAGCAGCACTTTAGCCGGGCAATATAGAGAGTCGTGTTGATTTATCGAGCGTGTACGCTGGCGTCTTAGACCATACCTTGCTTGACTTGGAGTACTCAGAGGTAGGCACCGGTATTATATACCGGCTGCGGGTGGAATTTCCGGGAAATTGGTGAGCATGGCAAGGTTACAGGAGAGAGATCTCACCGATAAAAGCTTATTTTTTGAAGAATTTTGGGGGTTTTCGAGAATTTTTTGACGGTTTTGGTTGTTGGTTGTGGATGTAGTCGGGCCCTTTAGGCAAGAAAACGAGTGGTAGAGACAATTAGCCGGTGCTGCCCGGCGCTGCAGCAGGCAGTATACAGGAGAACAAGAGAGTTATGGCAGGTGGACTTGAGCGGGCCCTCGGATGCTTTGTCGTGGGCCTTGCCCTGCGTAGCACATGAGCGACAAAGCTAGTCGGTTGAGCTCGGTTGAGCTTGCGTATTGTGATCGACTTCAGCGGGCCATTGCGAAGGCTTTGTTGCTGGTTTGCCCCGTGCCACACACGAGCGATTACTATTGTAGAGCCTGCGTGTTGTTATTCGACTGATGCCCAGCGCGGGGAGAGCTCATTGGTTGACTCTCCGCCGTGGTAGGCAGTGCAAGTGTTGTGGGCAGTTCGTTGCTGGCCATGTTCGAGATCTCGGCTGGAAAACCACTAAGCCAAGCCCTGTGGACTTGACGGTGTAAAATAGTCCGTTTTGTATTGTTCCTTTTGGTAAAGGTTCCGTGTAGATTGCTTCTGCCCGTCGTTTGATGCGACTGCATTAATCGAGGAGGGTCGGCCGAGACGACGGCTAGCTTAACGTACGTGGGCTTCTTGTTTTGGTTCGGAACGATTTCCGTTTTTTTTTTCTTTTTTGTATGCCATAGAGGGCTCCTCTCATGGTGCCTGCAGGAAAATTGCGCCCGGCGCTAATAAGCGGGCGCAAGAGCGGGCGCAATGGCCGAAGTTGCTGATGATGTGGTCAAGTCTCTGCGCGAAGGGTGCTCAGTAACGATCTAAAAAACTAATTTTGCTACATTATCTATGTTCCCCGCCGCCGGTCCTCCTCGGCTCGGTGCGCGGCGTGGCGAAAGGCACCGCGAAAAACCGGCCGACTCGAACGCAGACGATACCGGTATCGAGGCTGCGGGAGGCTCGATCGCGAAACGATGGCCATCAGAGTGGCTTGTGCGCAAGGAAGCGCAGAGACCATGGATGACCGGATTGGTTCCAACATAAGAGCTCTCGGTAGTTTTACAACAAATTAATTTCATGTTTGCTAACGGCGATTCGATACGGGCTACACGCACGCACGCACGTCGTTTGCTTGATGATCTCTCCTGCAGTTACACAGCACAACAACAAACTGTCCAGCCCGTTTCGTACGAGTCGGGGACCCAAACTGCCGGGAACGAAACAAACCCTCTCCAAGACCCTGAAAAACGCCGAACATGAAAACAAAATGCCACAGCACGCGAACGCAGAAACCCCAACACTATGAAGACAGCATGTACACGACGCGTACTTGAAAACAAGGTCGCCTCACAACGGACGGATGGTATTTGTTGAAGCACAAGTCGCCACACTCAAACCAACACCAGCGCAGAGCCGTCGACGCGCACTTCACCGGCCGACGACCACTATAATACTAAAACAAGCGCCTATTCGTACACAAACCGTTCGCTACCCGTGGCTGCAGCGAACGAAGAAGGGACTGTCACAGCGCTTCCGCCGTTACCGCGTCCTCGAGATGCTGGCCCACCTCCCCCAAGCAGAAATTCGCCGTCGCCTCCAGGCGCCGCCGGGCGTACCCGGCCAGCGGCTGGACGGTCTCGTGCCAGCTCTTCACCACCTGCGCCTTGCACGCCTCGAGCAACTCTTCGGCCAGAACGCCGCCCCGCTCGGCCGCCACCCCCGCCCACCGCACCGACGCCTTCCTCAACGCTACCGCCAACTCTGCCGCCCAAGCTTCCCACCCGTTCTCCTCGCTGTACCCTACCATCGCGCCCGCCGGGTCGATCGCCTCCCCCGGCGGCTCGGCGGAGATTGAGTCTAACGGCGGGAGCGGGGGCAGGACGACGAAGTCTTCCACGTCTGCGGTGTGCCGCCGGCGAGGCGGCCGCTGCCCCGCGAGCCCGACATCGACGGGGTCGGGCCCCGCCGACAAGGGTTCAGAGAAACGGAACACCGGGCGCCTGCGCGGGAAGTCCTCGCCGCTCGCCTCCTCCTCCTCCTCCTCCTCCAACAGCAGCGCTTCCACCTCTTGTGACGAGTCGCTCGTGGAGACGTAGTCGTCAGGCGGCACGGCTGCGGCGTCCCCGGTGGTGGCTCTCCGGTGCTGTGGAGACGGCCACCGCCCGCTGGGCATCCTCGGCGGGCGGGCGTCGACCCCGCTCCATTCGCTTGCCGATATCTCCGTCATCCCCAGGTCGGTTTCAAGATCTCCGTCTACGTTGGCACCGGCGGCAACGTCAGCATCGACGCCCACGGGGGCGGTCGTCTCGTCGTCACCAGCCCCTGACGACGCTCCCGCTCCCGTCCCCGAACCGAAATCACTCGACGATTCCATCGCGCTTGTCCGTGCGTCAGGCTCGAGTGGATCGACATCACGGTGGTCGTCTTCTTGTTCTCCGGCGCTCTTTGCCGGGACAACCGCAGGAGCTCTGCCTTGCCCCTCCGCGCCTGCATCGGTCCCCTCGCCCTGCGACCCCATCGATGACGCTTCTGCTGTGGGTGCATCGCGAACGGCATCGATTGCCCCGTCACCGCCCTGCCCAGTAAGTGCCTCGCCCCTCCCCGAGTCCACACTGCTGTCCTCATCGGCACTATCAACGGCCAGCAACGCAGCGGCCCCTTGTTCCTTTCCAGCAGTGATCACAGCGTCCATCGACGCATCGTTGCTCGTTGGCTGAGCGGACGCTGCTGCGGCTTCGTTCGCTCGCTCATCGTCGTGGGTATCGCCGGTAGGCCTCGCTGCTGGTGGCGGCCGCGCATCTCCAGCGGCGGCTTCCTCCTCCTCCGCCTCCTCCTCTTCCTGCTCCTCTTCCTGCTCCTCCTCTTCCTGCTCCTCTTCCTGCTCCTCTTCCTCCTCCTCCTCCTCCTCCTCCTCCTCCTCCTGCTCCTCATCTTCAACAATCACATGGTCGTCGTCGATACCTGGCAGCGTAGTTGCTGTCGTGTCGTGATCCGGTTGGGGAACAGCGCCACCCTCCTCTGCCGCTTCTCGACTCCCGGCCGGTTCGCCCCGCTCGGCTGGCGGTCGGTCTATCCCAACCCGATCAGTCGCATCGCCCTCACCTCCATCTACAAACTCTTCAAAATCTTCGGCGCCTACTGTTGTGCTCTCCCCAGCACTGGCGGTCGCCTCCTCTTCGTCAACGATGCCGTCTAGCGCTTGTGCTGCGCTCCCCACTTGGGCAGCATAAGGAGCAGCATCGATCTCCGCCTCAGCGGACGAGGTGTCCGTGCTGCCCTCGCCAGCCGAAGCAGCTTCGGCGTCTCGTCCAGCAGCAGCAGCAGCAGCAGCAGCAGCAGCAGCAGCAGCATCGCTGGCGTCTTGACTACGTTTCCCGAGGTCTTCCACAACACCCGTCATAGAGCCATGGGAAGGGGCGGCATCAACCTCGGCCTCAGCAGGCGAACCAGCAGCAGCAGCAGCAGCAGCAGCATCGGCGGCAGCAGCAGCAGCAGCATCGCTGGCGGCGTCATGACAACGTTCCCCGAGGCCTTGGGCAACACCCTCCAAACTAGAAGGAACACCATCAACCTCGGCCTCAGCAGGCGAATCTGCCGTGCCGCTGCTGCTGCTACCGGCAAGAACATGCTCGGCACCTGCAACAGCAGTAGCAGCATCGCTGGCCTCTTGGCCATCTCCCCCGAGGTCGCTCGACGGTTGTACGTCTTGCGCAGCCGAGTGAACGTACGAAGGCTCGCCGTCAGGTGAACCATTGACACGGGAACTTTCTTCGAATTTTTCGTCCACGTTGTGTGAGAATGCTGCTTCTTCCCCCGCTGCCGTTCTCCCCTTGTCATCCTTGCTGTTGCTGCTGCTGCTGCCGCTGCAGCTGCCGACAAGAGCTTCTTGGGGCGAGGACCCAACAGGATCATCAACCGTAGAAGGCGCGAGATCCTCCTGGTTGTCATGAAAATGCTGCTGGCTCTCTCGTTCGATGATGGCGTTCAAAAGCCTAGCGATCGTTTGGTCAGGGCTCTCCCCCTCTTCGAGAGGAGTCGGCGTCTTCGTTGGCCGCCCGGCGGCCCCGTTTCCAGGTGGACGCCCTCTGCTGACAAGCGGAGGCACCATGGCACCGAGAGTCACCACTTCAACCTCTTCTTCGGGCGAGCTGGCTCGCGCCGCAGCAGCGAGGCAGCACAGCCGTATTAATCTCCGTCGAGGTCTCTTGAACATTGCGCACGAGGGTCAAGCCCAAGGCCCGACGAACCGCCAAGCCTTCGGTAGGAGACGAAGACTGTGGGGCAAGGGGCAAGCCACAGCAAGGCTGCAGGTGTGTTCTGCGGCCCTGGAGGGGGTCAGCCGGGGCTCCGTGAAATGTATTCCCCTCGCGAAGCCCCCGCTCCTGCCTGCTGCCTGGCTCATCACAACTCTCCCATGTCTGCTTCTCTGTTTCTCAACATTGCTCTCTGGTTGGGCCTGTTGTCCACAGGGGCGGTATCATGTATGCTGCTCGGTGGTCAGTAGAAACGGAGATAGGTCATGAACCACAACAATTTCTCCCGGACGAATTCTACTCTGTATCGGTGCATACATATTTGATTTTTTTTGCCCGACGAATCTTGCCTCTCGACTACATGTAGACAACGCCCACCGGTTGTGTTCTCTCTCTACGTTCCTCCTGTGCCGCTCGGCCACTCCGACACAAACCAGAACAGGGGATCATCTCGCAATCCAACAGTGTAGGCTGTAGCCGCTGTATGGAGGTTGTTCTGCGCGTGTGGTTCAAATGTTTCATAAACTACGTAATCTGATTGGTCGAAGATCCGTCGCGCATCAGCGAAGGCCGAAACTTTTAATTCGTTTCGAGAGGGTATGCGCGTATGCGTTCGTCCTCGTCCTGGTCTGTTTGTTTGACCTCTGTTCTTTGGCTTCTGAATTCTCACAGTTGGCTCTGAGGCTTCAGTTTATTGTACTATCACTGGTTCTGCTCATCCTCTGATTTCTCTGTGGCCGGTCCGCTAAGATAATGGCCAATCAACCCACACCCCAAAAATGCATTCCAACAAAAGACAAGCGCTTCTGGGGGGAGCCCATCTACTTCAAGCTCGATCCGATCTTGATGACTGCACGCTTGGGCGGCGAAGCCTTCTCCTCGTCTCTTTCCTCGCCCCCCTCCGCGCCCGCCGCCGCCGCTCCTCCGGCGCCGGCTGCAGCAGCAGAAGAGCCCCTTTTGGCAGGGTGTTGTCCCGCAGACAGGCTGTTGAGGCTCGTGTGAAAGATGGTGCTTGTGTCCTGCTGGGTCACCTCCCTGAGGCACATTGTGGCGTAGGACGAAGACGGGAGGGTGAAGTGGAGACACAGGCCGTGGAAACGGCCACCACGCAATGCCGGCCGCAATGCCTCGCCGTTGCTCTCGGGAACCGCTCCATCCACGTCCATTGCGTCGGGGGTCGTGGCCTTTGAGTCACCCTCCTCCTTCTTGGCGGAGGGAGGTTGTTTCTCGCCATCAGCCTCAGCAGCAGGGTCAGCAGCAGTAGGGTCAGCAGCAGCAGGGTCAGCAGCAGAAGGGTCAGCGGCGGCCGCGGCCGCGGCCGCGGCGGCGGCGGCGGCGGCCTCTTCCTCCTTCTTTTTCTTCTTCTCGGCATCCTCCTTGGCGATCTTAGCGTCGTCGATGTCGAGGAGGTCGTCGATGTCGGTGTTGATGAGGTGCAGCGTGTGGTCGTCGTAGCGCTTCAGCTCCCACTGCATGTCCTTGGGCACCTGCAGCAGCCTGCACAACAGGAATTCGACGGATCGTTCGGGGGGTCCCAAAGAGGAACAAGAGAGGGAGAGAGAGAGAGAGAGAGAGAGAGAGAGAGAGAGAGAGAGAGAGAGAGAGAGAGAGAGAGAGAAACAGCGTACAAATGAATCAGAGAGTGTCGATGTTTAGCGTGCGAGCAGAAAGAAACTGGTGCAACCTTTATGGCGTGAAAGGATCTGCAAGGAGAACGGGTGCCGCGACGCTTTGGAGAAAGGGCGGTAAGCCATGAGCCGACCGGCGACGCCACGACAGTAGCACCGTTCCCGCGGACAAGCACACCAAATACTAGAGGCTGGAGACAAGAGAACGGGAAAAATGGAAGACGCTCTCAATAGGTGATGATATTCCCCCCCCCGGTATGACTCCTCTCGAATGAACGAGTGCAGCTGAAAGTGGTCATCGGGCAATGCCGCTATTTAGGTCCCATGCACGGGCCTCGCGGTCGCGCAAACACAAACCAGCAAAAAAAAAAGGGCTACGTAGGCAAGCACGGCCGCACCTAGCGGAAGCCAGAAACTACACGTTCGTACACACACGAACTTCTTTCAGATGGCGTGCAGCAGCGGACGGCAAATAACTTCACCAATAGCAGTCAAGTACTCCGGCGCCGCCGACCTGATGGTCACAGAAACAACCGGTAACTTTTACCGATCGTTTCACCTGCGGTACGCGCCCCCCAGCTTGAAGGCCTTCTGCGTGGACGAGCTGAAGCACGCCTCCGTGACACCCCTCTCCTCCAACGCCTTGGTGTAGCACTCCTTCACGCCATTCGTAGGGTACGTCACCCCCGACCTGAAACGGTTTTGCACAGAAGTTGGGCATGAAAATGGGTGAGTGGATGGGGGCTGCGACGATAGATAACGCTATTACTCTTACTCATTGACGCTGTCAAAGTTTGATGTTGATATCTCCTGTCGTAACATGCTCGTGGGCCACGGGACACTTCTAGGTATGTCTGCCGAGTTCTACGTTGTCAAATCGAAATTGCATTTGCGTTGGGCATGGCCGTTCGGAGTGAATAGGACGCTGTCTGGTCATATCATCGAAGCTACATCTGTCATCGGAGCACGAGCAAACACCCTATGACCCCGTCCCCAGCTACACAAAACGAGGGCAGACTTTTGCAGCACGAAGCTACTCTCGAAGTAGACTTGTCGCGTCCGGAAACAAAATAAGACGAGGGCTGCCCAGCCGCTTCAGTTCGAACGGGGTATATCCTCGAACGGATGATAGTCTCTATGTTCCAGGAGCCGCGAATAGTCCACAAAAACAAAAAAAAGGCATCGATGCCCCCACAACGGTACACACGGTTCACGTAACGAAGAACGGGAGCTTCAACACAACACCCCTCCCCTTCCTCCTGCCAAAACAAGAAACACACGCATGTATCACAAAATTCCGGACCGACTTCGCGGGAAAATTCAGAATTGTAAGGACAATAGAACAGGGAGGGGGTACGCAGACCCTATTCCACAACCCTGACCCAACTTCACCCCCGATTGTACGCTTTTAATCCAACATGTTTTCTTGAATACGAAACACCCTGCCAAGGGTTATGAAAATTCCTCACCCGGGCATCGGGAGCACGACGTCGGTAACACGGAAGGTCCCTTCCTCCACGTCTTCCTTCGTCACCACGTGCACCGGGGGCAGGGAGGACCCCGCTGTCTTGGCCCGCTTGGCCTCCGGCTGCTGCCCCTCCCCGCCCTCATCTTCTCCGTCGCCGTCCCCCTCAGCGGCGTCGACGGCGGCGGCTCCTATCGCAGGGTCGACCAGGGTGGCGTCGTCTTCGATGGCCGCGGCGGGTGAGTCTCGGGGGAAAACGAGGTCGCCTTCCACCGCGGCGTCTCTGCCGTAGAGCTTGATGCGCTCTGAGGCGGCGAGGTTCCACAGCAGGGACTGGAAGGCGTGCCTTTGGTCCGCGTCGTTGTTATTGCCGTTGTTATTGTTGTTGTCGTCGTTGTTGTCGCCATCGTCGTTGGTGTTGATGTTGGGGATTGACACACGGTACACGTCAAGCCGAAGCAGCGGTAGAGGGCGAGGGAGACACAAGGGGCGGGCTTGGGTTTCAACGGACAAACTGCACGGCGGCCGCGGTTTCAGCCACCTCGACATCTTGTGCATGCAATGTGTTCAGTATTTGCGGCATGTTGTACGTCAAACAAAACAAGGTCAACTTTCTCCGCAGCGTTTACGTGCCCCGTGAAACTGACATACCAACTTCGCGCTGAGATGCCTTTTGCTGCAACATACGCTCCTGATTGCTACACCTCAAAATGCCCAAATAGCGGCATCACGGGAGATCTACTGCATGACTTCTATAGTGCTGTCGTTACGCGGTACAATGCGAGCAACAAATTATCGGACATATCATCCACTTCGTCTCACAGGTACATGAGCTGAAGATTCTTGGGCACGGCCTTGAGGGCGTCGATGTGAGCGTTGGGGCCGCCCTTGAGCAGCGCCTGCATCATGCTCTTCTCGGCATCCATGAAGAACGGCAGCTTGTTGAGGGTGCCCTGGATGTCCGTCGGGTTCTTAAGGTAGTGTACCTTTTTTGGTACCGGACAAAAGGAGGTGTGCGAGGTAAGGAGGCGGTGGTGGGGATCAGGATTAAGGGTGTTCTTTTCGACACCACGAAAGAAGGTGTGCGCGGCCAGGAGGCGGTGGTGTGGGGGTCAAGATTGGAGGGATGTTTTAAAGGATATTCCACCGGCAACTGGCTCTGCCCGGTATCCATGAAATAGTGCCCTGGGCGGGAGTCGATCTGCCCCAAAATGTGTGGTATAGTACCTTTTTTGAGTCAGTGACTGTGGCAGCATCAACGGGATACGCGGGAGAGCCAGTACCGTGTCAAAAGGCCGGCGCCATGGACGCGACCAAAACACCTCGAAGACATGGCACCCTCCGAAAGACCTCTGGATGCAAGGAAGCAACGTCACTGCTGCTAAACTCATCCAGCGGCACAAGGGTTTGAGCCGGCCCGAGGGGCGAAGGTTGACCGCGGCGTGATACTGAGACGACGGCAAGGCGAGAAGTTGCCCTCGTGCCGTACTATAGAACATAGCGCCATGCCAACACACATCTGATAAACCGCATCATTGCTCGTGCGGAGGCTAGAAAGGACAAACAGATCTCGGCACACCAAACGCCAAGCGCTGCAATGATCCGGTTTGTGAACCACACGCGCGATATCGTCTGCTCGCCCTCAAGCGTCAATCGAAGCCCTCGCAACACAACTCCACACACGGAGCGGAACAAGCTTGTCGTACCCCACGACTTACGGTACTGCCCGTGACCGTTGCTCAAGCGGCGCCATCACACCGCTGCAAACAGAAAAAACACAGACGCCATCCGACAAGTCGTGAAGAACACACGCGGTACATTGTCGCGGTGGTCCACACATACCGTACAAACAAGCATATACTCCACGGTAAGCCCACCTTGCTCGCGTGCGTGGCCTCGTTCTCGCCCATCCTGGGCGTCATGATGAGCCTCACCGCCCCCGCCCAGTCCTCCTTAAGCATGGCCAGCCCCACCTCGCTCGTCGGTGCTCCCCCCGACCCGAACCTCTGGAGGCCGAAGTAGTTGATGAAACCCCGCTCCTTGACCCACGCGCAGCGTCGGTCCACGGTCTCCTTGAGCTTAGCGCCGGCTTCGACCACCGCCGCCTCAGGGTCTTCGGCCTCCTTCTTTGACGCATCGTCAGCCGAGGCGTCCTGCCCCCCCCCAGCACCGTTCTCTGCACCGTTCTCTGCACCGTTCCCGGTACCGTTCCCGCCGCCGCTGGGCAGGGTGAGGTTTCTGAGGACGATGCCGAAGCGGTTGCCGGAGAGGTCTCCGAGCTTGAGGGGCTCCGCCACGTACGAGAAATTCCCAAGGAGAACGATCGACCCCTGCTCTCGAAAAAACGTCCGGCGAGGGAGGGGCTCCGGAGAATCGGATAGTGTGACAAGCCCCAAAGTTTCTCTCGAAGATCAAAAGACCTGACAAGATACTTTGTGCGATGCTGTATTTGTTGAGGTTGATCTGGCGAACGAAGTTGCTGACTGGAGACAGCACTTGCATCTTGAGGACGGTTGACCTTCCAACCAAGGAACGAAAAGAAGGCGATTCTTCCAGACGATAGCATGGGTCAAGCACTCTTCATGGAAATTGGCAACACAAATCTGCAACTTTGTGTTCTCTATGCGAAAACAACAAAATTTCCGTCGGCTAACCTGGAATCAAGTTTGCATTTTCATTTACTGTGCGAAAACAAGAACATTTTGGTCGGCTGCCCTGGAAACAAATCTGCATTTTGATATTTTCTACGTCATCTACATAAAACAAATGGTCTGCTAACCTGGAAAGCACCGAGCGGGCGGTTGAAGCTCCTGAGCTCCTCGATAGACTTCCTCTTGACGGTGCACCACTGCGCCGTAACGCCCCGCTTGTCCTTAGTCCCGGCGTACCCCACGACCTTGCTCGAGAACCGCAAGTGCTTGCAAATGCGGCTGACGGCTCCCATCTGCGGATATCGACAGCAGTGGGCCCAGAAAACACATGGTAGCGATGAAAACGAGCATGAGGAGAGCAAGAGATGGGAGACCCATCTCAACTTTCATATGGATTGCGTCAACGATACTTGCATCGTCGGACGAGAGCGTGACCCGTCCGAAAAAAGAGCAATGAACCGGAATCCCTCTCAAGTTACACGTCGATGCGCATGATACAGTACCGCCATTTTTTTGCTGGTTCAGCGAGCCCCTGGGAGCGGCGAACGTCCCTGTCGAGACACAAACCCGCGGTGGCCTCCGAATGACCCCCCCGGGAGCGAAAGCGAAAATGCCTCGTCGTGAAACAGGATCTAGCACCAAGACACGCGTTCTCAATCCATGCACCCTCTTGCCTTGGCACGCGTTGAAACTGCAATGGTTTGGCGTTGGCGCTTGGTACTGGGGAGAACGTTCTTCAACATCCTCGTTGCATGGGGCGATGTGTTTCGACACTTCTGTCTATTCAACCCACGCATCGATCGAGCTCAACACCCCCCCTCCCACGCAAGAGTATACCTCCGCCGCCTCGAGGGTCACGACCATGCACCTACGAGTCTCAGTAGGCCTGTCTCTACCAACCCTGCATACAACTCACGGTGTCGCTGTTCTCCTTGTAGAGCACGAACCGGCAGAACTCGGGCCGCCCCTCGGGCCACGCCCAGCGCCTGCCGCCCCCGCCCCTCCCTCCGCCCCGCCCGGACCTGTCCAGGTCGCCCCTCCTGCGCTTGTTGCCGCCGTCGACCCTTCGCCAGTCGGGCTTCATCTTGAGCTGCACGCACTTGGGCCCGTTCGGATCAGGCTTCTTCGCCGCAGCGGGGGTGCCGGCCGAAGCCTTCGTAGTTGCCGCCGTCTTCTCCGCCGGTTCCCCGCCGCCGCCGCCGCCCCCGTTCTCGCCTGCCTTCTCGCTGGACGGTTTTTCCGTACCGTTCCCTTCCTCCGCGGCGGGAGCTTCGCCGCCGGCGTCGCCCTTGTTGTCGCTGGCTCCCGCCGTTGCCTTAGCGTCGCCGTCCTCGGCGTCTTTGGCCTCGGGGATTTCGGTTTTGGAGGCCGTAGGAGGCGGGGCGGAGGCGGGGTCATCGACGGTGACCGCCAGCAGGTACTTGCTGAGGTTTTGCTTCAGGAGGCCGTACACCTTGGGAGTCACAGAACACGCGGGGGGGGTGGGGGGGCGACGACGACAGGTCGGAAAGCATAAGCATTACACTTGCTGAAGTGTTGCGTCAGGAGGCCATACACCCGGGGGGGGGGGGGGGCGACAGGTTGGAAAACATGACAGAGCAGGAGGGGCGCCAGGACTGACCCCGGAGGCCCATTGCGGGGCACCGTGTGATCACTCGAGAGTATGCTGCTAGGCTCGGCCGGTGGCGGCGCCGCAGACAGCGGATCGATTGCCCGTGCCGCTAAACAGCAGTAGCTGCACGGTGGTCCGAGATTATGCAAAGCGTGATGCTCGCAACAGCGGTCGAGGAGTAGAGGATACAGCGACAACTCCACAAAAACATTGCATGCCGCAAGGTACCGCACCCTTTTGCCTGGGTTCATTTTCCAAGCTCGTAAAAAAAAAAAAAAACGCGGACATGAAAAAAAACATTTTCCGAGGAGAGGCGTTTGTTGGGAAACAGGAGTTTCTCACTTGTTTTTCCAGAATGCGGGGTGTGGAAGATGGACCCCGCTGCGCGGTACATTGGCACGACTTACGTACCTTTGTCCGGGTGTTCTTGTCGGTGGTGGGGAGCGTGAGCGTCCGTTTGTCCTTGCCCGTGACCCCCAAGCCCTCCAACATGAACGCCTCCACCTGCTTGCGAAAACCGTCGAGATAGCATACATAAGACCAAAAGGACACGGGTCATACAGCAGAATACCACAAAAAAAACACACAACCAAAGAGAGGGACTACTGTTGGAGTAAACGATCGTGGCCAACAAGACGAGCAGCAGAGCAAAGGAACCAACACCTACAATTACAGCAGCAGGAACAGCAGCGGTGGAAACAAGCAGCAAAAACAACAGCCTGACAACTTGCGGGCACTTGACTGCGGTCAATGTTGAAAAAAAACAGTACTGTAGCAATTCTAGCCAAATCACGAAGCACACCGATCGTGGCTCCGACAGCGAGGCAAGGGGTACGAGGGGCAAGGAGCTTGCGCTATACTAGAGCCACGAGCCCACCGCAGCTACGGGGCAGCCGCAGCAGGAGGGCCTGCGTCTTCTCAAAGATAGCTCAAGGCGCTGCCATCACCTCGCTACTCCCACCACAACCAACACAAACCAGATTCCTGACAGAATTTGTAGTCAAACTCCTCGAACAGAAAGTCCATCATACCGCCGCGATAAACAACCCACGGCGTAAGCAGTAGCGATGGACCCACATCCCCTGCCAGCCAGCACTCGGCCTCTCCCCACCTTGGCGGCAACCTCCTCTCCGACCACGGGCAGCAGGGTCTCAGCACCGCTCTTGGCCTGCTTCTTTAGCTCTTCCTCCGCCTCCTTTCTCCTCCTCTCTCTCTCCTCTTCTTCCCTCGCACGCCTGGCGTCCTCCTCCTCCTCCTCCTCCTCCATCCCCCCGCCTGACGAACCATCCACGGCGCCCCCCTCACCATCACCCTTGCCCTCCCCCTCTTTATCCTTCGAGCCGCCCTCATCATTACCCTTGCCCTCCCCCTCCTTGTCCTTCGAGCCGTCCTCAACCGCATCAGAACCACGCACAGCTGTCGGTGACGCCGTGCTATCAGAGGGGGTCTCCTTATGCGCGGCGTCGGCGGTAGGCTGGCCGTGGGCGGGCGGCGGCGGCTGCCGCTCGTGCTCGATGGGCCGCAGGAGCCCCGGGAAATCGGTGCCCTTGCAAACCTCACCGTCGCGCGTGACCTTGCAGCCAAAAATAGTTTGCCAGAGAAACAAATACCAGGTCGAGCGTGTAAAATGACGGTCGCGAGAGCTAGTGGCGGCAAGGCGGGGTCGTGAGTACCCGTAACACCAAAGACTGAACACGACCGGGCGTGTTCGAGGCGCCAAAAACAACAGCACGGCGTCTTGGCAGCGAACGCATCTTCGGGATCAACTTCGGTCGGTCGAGCACAAGAAGATGCTTCGAACCGTCTGAGTAGCAACACCGCCTCCACACACAGGAGGTGTTTCACTACACAGGCACTGGAGACCGCTTGCGGTGGCATCACAATACACCCCCCGCTTGAAAAGGACAAACTGCTGTTGGGAAGAATGCCCACCTCGTGAACGACGAAGTCGGAGTAGCGCTGCTTCAGCACACCGGAGAAGCCAGTGTCGTTCTCCGTAATGAAGTGTGTGATGCCCACGGTGGACTCCTCCGCCCTCTCACCTTGAGGAACCATTCAAAAGAAAAAAAAACGGCCAAATGTTCATTGCCACAGCACGAACAGGGCGCGTGCCTACGAACCGATATTGCACGTACGAACTACTTGCTGTCCTCCTACATGCAGTTGGCTGACTGTCTTCGGCACGAAGAGAAGACCCGGGAAGGGGTGCCCGTGAATTCACTCAAGGTGCCGGCATGTGCGGTGGGAATTCGTACAAGGACAGACGCTGTGCTGAACACCGTGACTGTCGATGCCATAATTTCAAAAATGAAGGCGTCCCCCCGTGTGATGATGATGGCTACATATTTGGTGCTCAAGAAGCATCTTCCGGCGGCCGAAACACAGCTCCGCTGCTTCGAGTACGCCGCCAGGCACCCAATGAAAACGTCGCGCCACGTACGTACACCATCATCCAATGACCCCCCCGGAACGTTGCCGACTGCCGTGGAAGTTTGGTTACGTGTTGACTCACCCATTAGCGCCAGCGTCTCCGCAGTGGGCTCCGCCGGCCTGCGGTCGTTCCAGTCAGTCCCTCCCCCTCGACCTCTGCCGCCCCCCCCCCACCCACCCCCCCTCCCTCCACCCCTCCATCCGCCGCCCCCGCCACCACGACCGCCGCCTCCTCTCCAACCACCCCTGCCCCCCCTCCCCCCACCCCCCCTTCGGCCACCTCTGCCTCCGCCTCCGCCCCGGAATCCCCTCCCCCCCCCTCCCCTTCTGCCACCGCGACCTCGGCCGCCGTCCATGTTCACGTTGCGTGTTGCGGACTAGGAGAAGAGCTGCCGATGGGGTGGCGGCGCGATCGGTGTATTTGGGCGTTTTCGTCATGTGTATGCTGAGAGGGAGGGTGTACTAAGAGCCTGTCGTTTACGAATGTGTTATGTGATTGTTTGTGGTGCTTCCAACAAAGGCAGATGTGACAGGGTAGTTCTGGCCCAGCGAGAAAGAAGCAAACCCTGGGGCCACCCCGCGAGAGTTGAAAAAGATGACGATCGCCGGTCAGCCCGACCCCACGCAACCAACGGTAGACTTTCCGCAGAGGGGGGCAACGAAATTTCAAAAGGGTGTGTTCTGTAGGGTACCCGCAGGAGGTATCGGCGGTATTTTTCCGGGTATTTACCCTACAGAACGTTACAGACGAGTTCTGTGAGACTTCCGATACCCTACCGGATACTTCTGTGAAATGCGTGGCACTTCCAATACCCTACCGAACCTTGGAAGTATTTCAGAGGCAGCCACGGTGCTGCGTCTGTGTTGTGCAACATGAAGAACAGCAGGAGAATGATGTTGGGCACATGAGCTAGGAAACCTCCCCCCACAGCTCGATTCATTTATTGCGTCGAGCTGTTTGTCACCAATCCGTATGTTCGCCGTCCACACGACATGAAAATGCGTTGCATGTGTAGCCGCTCGATGTACAAGCGGCCAAGGCACAGGCAGGGCAGTGCTATTAGGGGAGCTGGCTAGAGCAGTGTGGCCGTTACCACTCCTCCTACTGAGGGCAGGGGCGACAGCAGCAACGAGGCAGAGCAAGTCGGATGCCAGGAGCTGTTTCAGCCGCACACCCTAGGGCGCCTGGCTAGTGGCTACCATTGCCTGCCGGTCTCCAGACCAGAGTAAACGTTGTAGTGTTGTACTACCCGGATACTTGCTTGCTAAACGAATACGTGGTGCTACATGTACTTTGCCAAGGGAAAGTGGAGCAATCGTATGGGTGATGCGTCCCCACCTAAACACACCTTGAAATTTCTCTGTCTCGCTCGAATACCGATCAAGACATGTACAGCAATCGCTGCTGTTGGTAGACTACAAATTACGCAATACAGCAGTGCACGGAAACATGCGACGCTCTCGGGGCTTCACTCGACCCAGCAAGTCTACGCCAAAACAACACAGCCCAGCAGGTGACCGTTCCGATTTATGTGTGACAAACTTGCGATTAAGCTTGGGTATAGCGAAACACACGGCGAAGGCTGTGTCAGCTGTGTGGGTATCACGGACAGCGGTCAAGTTACCCCACATTGCTTGACATGGGCAGGTGCGACATTGGTGACTAATCCTCTCACAATCTCAAACGGCATCCACGAAGTCAGCACACGCAGAAACGCCAGGACTTTTCCTGGTTGAGAACTTCCTCTGCTAATCCTTCACGGCAACCTAGAAACTCACATGTGAAACGGGATGGCGCTTGCTCTTGAGCTCAGGGCCAGCTATCTGTATGGCGGGGATGCTCCGCGTCTCCGCGTGAGCTGTGAGCTGTGGATATTCGCGAGCCGCGCGCGACAAGAACGCCTTACCAAAAAATGGACCTCCCAATACCACTGTAAGAGGAGGTCTGCGCCCCCGGACAAAATGTGGAAATGTGGGTAGCCTCGTGTTGATGGCTAAATGAAGGGTCATGTTTTGACCACTCATGTCTTCTGAGGGACACACCGACACACGATCCGCCACAGCAAGTGGTTCATGTGTACTTTTGTCATGTTAACATATTTTGTGGTGAACAGTCGTAAGTCCTGCTGGCAGCGTTTGGTCTCTGGCTTCGAAGCGGGCATTTATTGTTGATAATTTTTCGTCTGGGGGCGGGCCCAGACTATGTGTTTGGGTCAAGATGCGCGGACACAAACAAACGTGCACACCTCTTGAGCTATAAAGTTGCCTCACAATTTTTGACAAGTCCCCAAGGGCAACGGCACGACCCTAGATCACCGACACAACACACGACGACAAATAAACAAAACGAACGAACGTCACGACAGAAGAAACAATCCACACTATTATACAGTGGTATTTTTCCGGCCCCCAGCCCAGGCACAATTGATTAATATCTCCACTATGCAGACGATTCACACAGCAAACTATATATCATGTGAAAGCTATGAACGAGAGCTTTCGAATGAACACACTTTTGGCTGCGGCAAATTAGATGGGCACGAGCTACGCTGGGTTGGCCGTTTTCATAGAATCGGCGAGAAATAGGAAAAACGCGCAATCGACGACGAAGACTTTTTTTGCCGCAAAAAAAAGTTCCATTTTTGGAATCCCCGCAAAAAATGGGTTCTAAAAACGTTTGGTTGGAACCTCCGAGCGTCTGCATAGCAGAGGAAAATTTCAAATTTCTCAGGGCGTGCAGGGTACGCTTTTGCCACAGATCTTGGGCGGGACCATGGACCCCGATACAGATGCGCTGCTGCATGTGAAGGGAACTCTGCCTGCTGAGTACGAGCTCGGAGAACTCGAGGTGCACAGAGGGGCTCCACGAAAGTACCGCATTGGTCTGAAAGCAAGACACAGCAGCCAGGCCGGCCAGCCGTTACTTCAGTGGCACAGCCGGACGTTCACCACGAAGAGTGCACGTGGCAGAGACAGAGCCGCCGAGTCTCAAGCATGCAGAACCATCACAGCGCAAACATGGTTAGACCTTGCAGCAAAGACCATCCAGCATGAAGCGATCCAGCAACCACCCTCCCGGGTTACAACGGGTGTCAGACTTGCAGCTCCCGCACCTGGTTCTCTTCAAGAACCTGGTGTTGGAGGCGCCGAAAGGTTGCGAGAAGGGTGCGGCGGCGCCAGAGAGGGCGCCGGGAGGAAGAAAGGAAGCCTAGGAAAGAGGGCCCGGCGAGAAAGAGCTACCATGCTGCGCGAGGAGCTCGTCAAAGCCTTTCCAGGCGCACTCGAACTTCAAGCTGGGACGCTGGCAGAATTGTTGCGGGCGTGGAAGGCAACTGAGCCTGAGATGGCCGATGAGGCGATGAAGAGGTACATGAACAAGGGCACGTACAACACATCGCAGGCTAGAAAAAAGATCAAGCGTGCTCGCGAGGCAGATCTCAGAGCACGGGCGGTTGAGGCGGCGGCGGATGAATTTCGCGCGGACAGCATCGAGTATTTTGATACCGTGTTGAGGGATGCGCAGAAGGCCATCAGTGCGGCAGCGGCACTGGAAGATGTGAGTGTTTTTTTTGAGTGTGTAAAGAACTGCTGTACAGCAGTAATGTACTGCCGCAAACTACTTTCTCCTTTAACCACTGTACTGCTGTGTACAGTGTCACCACTCGAATAAGTATACTGCTGTAAAACACTGCTGTTAAGTTGCTGCTGCGTCCGCCCAGCACCATGGGCGCCTCTGCTGTGCAGTGCACATCCGAAAGCAATACTGTAACGTTCATTTCATCGACAACAGTTGTTTGACCCCCCCGTCCCCACACCCTCGCTCTCTCCCTCCGGCATTCTCCACAGGACGAGGCGAGCGCACCGGGGGCTGCCCTGTCCAACTACCAGCTGGCCCACGTGGTTCAACAGGCCATGACGTTGCTCCATCTGTACCTTCTCCAGCAAGACGGGGTCAACCGCACCGATGCGCTAGCAGCTGCCGCACGAGTGGGCAGACGAAGCATTGGAACCGTAAACGACTGGGAGCATGGTTTTCTAGCACGCGGCAAAATCAAGCCGCCAGAAAAAGGTCGCTTCCAGCGGACCTTTCTCCTGGAGCTCGACGAAGGCATCCAAAAGCTGGTGAAGCAGTGGATGCTGGACAACTGCGGCATACTGAGCGGTGAAGCCAACAAGACGGCAGAAGATTTCCGCAAGTGGATCAACAAGACCATCATGCCCAAGCTGGAGGCGCTGGAGACGGAGGACTTCGACCCTTTCGACGGCTTGAGAGTGCGGCGGGAAGAACCAACAGAGAAAGATGGCGAGCCCCCCGTTCCCGGGAAGCGTTTCATCTCCCTGTCTACAGCAACGGCATGGCTGAAGAAGCTAGGGTGCGAGTACCACGGTGCCAAAAAGGGTCTCTACTTCGACGGCCACGACGACCCGGAGACCCTCAAGTACCGGAACAACGACTTTCTGCCGCAACTGTTCGACGCTCGCGACCGCATGGACGTGTGGATTCCGGTGCCGAACGAGGAAGCCGAGGCCTGGGGCATTGACGTGAACGAAGTGCCGGAGGCCGACCGCATGCAGGAAGGTGACGGTGTCTGGGTGAGTGTCGACGATCTACAATCGGCGTTGGCGGACCTGTCGCCTGACCTGCAAGCTAAAGTACAGAGCAAGAAAACGTACCCGGACGGGAAGAAGGCCTTGCTTCTCTACCAGGACGAGAGCATCTTCCGAGGTTAGTGGGAAGTCAAGTCAAAACATAAAAATATTGTAGAGCAATGCAAAAATTGTCGTCCACCACGTGAAGTTAAAGTTGCAAAAATACTTCGACAAGGTTGGGTTGTGTGCAGTGGTCTCGCACATACAGCAGTACTGTGTAGGAGTACTGTACATTACAGCAGAGTACTGAACGTTTTTGTTGCACTCTCTGATTCTTTTTTTTTTGGCCGCCCCTGTTTTCTTCTTCTTTCTTCGGCAGCCAACGACGACCAGAAGTGGGCGTGGTTCAGGAAAGACCAGCGTGTGGTAATAAAGAAGTCACCCGGCCAGGGCATCATGGTGTCAGGAACGATCATCCACAACGTTGGCTTCTTTTCGGCGTCGCCGAGCCAGGTAGCTGAGGCCGAGAGCAACCGGAAGAAACGTTGCCGTGAGTCGGCCGCTGCAGCTAGACGAGGGGAGAACATCAAACCAGAGAAGTACCGGCCAATCGACATGCTGCATGTCGACGACGACGGCAACTATTGGTCCTTCCATCTCTTCGAGTACGGCAAGAACAAGGAGGGCTACTGGACCGGTCTGAAAATGCTGGACCACACGAACGACGTCCTGGATGTGGTGGCCGTCCTCTACCCCAACCACAAGCCTGTGTGCCTGTTCGACTGGTCGTCCTGCCATGACTGCCTAGAGGTCGGCGCGCCAAGGGTGAGCGGGATGAACGTGGGTTTCGGTGGAGTGAGAAAGGGAGAAGAGCTTGCGGCGATGGATGCCGTGACGATTCTGGAAGATACGCCACTCCTCAAAGCTGGCACGACACAGCACTTGGTTTTCCAAAGGGGGGACGACCCCCCCTTCTACGCCGAGCACCTCCGACCGTCGGAGTATGTCGGGAAGCTGAAGGGGATGCGGCAGATCTTGTTCGAGAGGGGGTTGCTGAAGAAGGGCATGTCGAAGTTGGGGGGGACGGGCGAGAAGAAGGACCTCAGCATGAGCATGGAGCATGTTCTGGGAGAGCAGCGAGACTTCAAGGAAGTTGACTCTAGTCTGGTGCTGTTGATGCGGCGGCACGGGGGAGTCTGCGTGATGCTCCCCAAGTACCACTGCGAGTGCAACCCCATCGAGCTCGTTTGGGGCCGTGCGAAGGACTGGACGCGCCAGAACTGCACATATTCGATGGAATGCTTGCGCAAAAACGTGCCGTTGAGCTTTAGACCGGAGAAGGATAGACAGGCCATTGCGGTAGTCCAGGCTTACTGCAAGAAGGCTTACACGCATGCCCTCGTGTACCTGAAGGCACGTGCACTTGGACCCACGGGCAAGGAGATCTACAAGAAATTCAAGTCCCACAGGCGCCCGACGCCGAACACGTGGAGGAAGTAGAGAGGCATGCGTTTGTATTCCTTGTGCTGTCCAGCACTGACTTTTTTCCCCCTGTTTTCGCCACATTTTCTCAGCTTTTTTACCTGTTTTTTTTTTTTTTGTGTGAATACACGTATTTTGTGCGGTTGCTCGTTGCCAAAAGTTGCTGTAGGGTGATACAGTACAGTAGGTGAAGGGTACCTGCGTTTGTGCGGTGTTTGGGGGTGTTTTACTCGACGTGACGCATGTTTGCAACCAAAAAAAAGAAAATGAAAAAAAAAAAATCGACGCAAAAAAAAACAAAAATGGTGCAAAAATGACCCAGGACTAACGTTCGAGCCCCGGCGAAAGGCATAATTTTCCCTTTTTTTTTTTTTTCCGACTCGCTACTCTTTTGCGCCTCTTCGCGGGCGTTAATAACATGTTATTTTTTTTTTTGTTCTCCACTTCAGTCAAAAGTTATGGAGGGACAACGAAATTAACATTAAGAAGCACCTTAGCGCCCCCAGAGGCGGCCACGACGGTATATTATTGTAGCGGCCCTAACTACATCCATGCACGAAAGAGCGGGTAATTTCGTATTAGTGGTGGCACCTAGAAAAATCCTTGCACGACAATTGAAAACGTCATCACCACGACACGAGCGGCGGCAGAACAAAACACACACACACACACACACAAATATCCCTCGTGCACGTGAGGCTCCCCCTGCATGCGTAAATGTCCTAAGCGACAAAACAAACTTCGAAACAAAACCGAGACTGAAAAACAAAACAAAACATGCCCGACGGAGATGGAGTACGAAATCCATGTTCGTTCGCGACCACTCTCTCTTTCGGGAGTCTGTAGCCAAGCTTGGCACACCACACACACCGCGTGTTAAAAACCTACAAGAAGGAAAGGCAAGCCCCCCTCATGAAGACCACCCTCCGCCCAGAGCGTTAAAACAAACTAGTCTTCTTAACCCTGATTCTAGAGCGACACGAGCGGTTTGTCCAACAGACATACCGTACGATCGACCACTATGCCGATATTACTAATAGTGCACTAGTTATTCCGCCCGGCAGATAAATCCGGTTCATTCCACTCCTCCATCCATGTCGTAAGTCTCGCGTGCGAAAAACGCGCACGTGAACGCCAGCCAGGCGTCCTCCAAGAAAAAGCTTGGCGTAAAACCCATGTAGACGGTTCTCTCTAGCAAAAATCGCCCCCGGTGGTGTTTTCGCGTGCCGGGCGGGCGTGGAGGTATGTATAGCTATTAGTTCTCCCATCTCTCGTGCTCCCAGGGAAGAACCAGCTGAATCGCTTTTCTGAAGGGCCACCAGGCCAAGAACGTCGACCCTTCCTCTTCCAGCAGGGGCATGATGATCTTCGTCGCCACGTGGAGCAGCCGATACACGCGCAGCACTCCCCCCGGGGTAGGGACCGGCAGGAGGTGCTCCCGGCAGCCGTGAAACGCCACCATGAAGAAGTGGGTCGTCAGGACCCACGGTACGGGGCTGAGGCCGGAAAGGAGGCCGACTGGTCCGGCCGAGTAGCAGCCGCCAAGGCTAAGGTAGTCGAAGCAAGCCGCCTGGAGGTCGACCCGGGTGCCCTTGGAGGCCGGGTCCTCGGGCGTGCTGAACACGTGGTACAGGGCGTTGGCGAGGATGTTGATGGTGGCGGCGTGGGCTCTACGGCCCGCGTGGAAGCGCGCCGCAGCCGACGCTACGGCGGCCGCGTCCCGGAAGGGCACTCCTCGCAGCAGCTCGGAGAGAAGCTCCACGTCCTGATGCGTCGCGTGTAAGGGGAACGACGCACCACGCACGGCAGGGTTTATTATTTTCATATCGGCAACGACAGGCGGCTGTCTTCTGAGCATACAAGAAAGAGTCGTTCGAGAAAACACGTGCCAAGATGACAAACATGGGGGGCGGTTGTGTGTGGGTACACATGGCAGGCCAAACACGGAGAAAACTTGCCTTCGAAACGCGGGCCACACATTGCCCACACGCTGCTGTATACAGCTTCAGCCACGCAAACAAAAGGTCAACCACGACAGCAACCTTGCTTTCAAAAACACACTACGCGCCCTGCAACCCCCCCCCCATCCCCCCGCAGGAGTAGTCGTGAACCTGTTCAAAAAGGGGGATACAACTGACCCGGGGAATTGTAGAGGGATAACCCTGCTGAGGACAGTGGGGAAACTGTTTGGCAAGATGATAGACAATAGAATGGGAGACATGTTGGAGGGGAAACAAAAGATCAGCGAAGGACAAGCTGGATTTAGACCAGATCGTAGTTGTGTAGACCATGTATATACGTTGAGTAAAATTATCCAAGGTAAGAAAGACGCCGGGCGTACGGCATACTGTTTCTTCCTAGATGTACAAAAAGCCTACGACACCGTATGGCGCAATGGATTGTGGAAAAAGATGTGGGACATCGGGATCCGGGGGAAAATGTGGAGGATGTTGAAAAAGATGACAGAATGCACAAGAAGTGCGGTGATGTTGGATGGGGAAATTTCGAAGTACGTGGATATACTGCAAGGAGTCGCACAGGGCTGTACGATGTCACCCACTCTTTTTAAGATTTACATCAACGATTTGATAAGGGCGGTTGAAGCAGTAAGACAGGGAGTCCAAGTAGGGGGAAAGAGTGTGTCCGGACTGATGTTTGCAGATGATTTCGTGGGGGTATCCGAAACACCAGAAGGGTTGCAAGAACAAATAGATGCGGCGGTAGGATACACCCGAAATTGGAGACTGTCGGCGAACGTAGGAAAATGCGCAGTAGTGGTCTGTAACGAAGACAAGAAAAATCCTGTAGAATTCAAATGGAAATGGGGGGAGGAAGAACTACCGGTAGTAGACAAGTATACGTACCTGGGAGTAGAGATTTCGAAGGAGCGCTCATGGGACGCACACATAGCGAAGTTGATTGGGAAGGGTAAAGCTCAGATAGGCAAGATGGACGAGATCCTTACGGACCCACACCTAGACACTAGGATTAAGAGGTGTATTCTCTTGAATGTGATTGTACCTAAGCTAGAGTATGCAGGAGAGGTATGGGAAGGTAACGAAAAGGCCGTCAAGCAGCTGGAAACGGTGCAGATGGCAGCGGCCAAGAAAATGCTAGGATGTTCAAGTACAACGAGCAACACTGTATTGAGAGCAGAATTGGGAATGTACTCTCTTAAAACAAAGAGAGACATGCAGAAGTTGAATTGGCAGTACAAGGTTAAGTAGAATGTCGGACGATAGACTACCAGCCATGGTTGACAAGGCAGCTTGGGGAAAAGCGACTCCAGGGAAGAAGGGAATCAGATGGGACAAGGTGGTAGAGAAGGTTTGGAAGGAGATAGGAGACGAGGAGGAGATGTTGGACACGGAAGGGTTCGGGGGGTTCAAGACGAAAGTCAAGGAGATGCTAGAAAGTAGGGAGGAGGCAACCCTTCGGAAGATTGTACGAAGCGAAGACCGCTTGGAGATATACGGGAAGTTGAAAGAAGGGATAGGGATGAAGACGTACTTGGACGGCCCCATGGACTGTGCGAAAAAGCTGAAATTGCAATTTCGAGTAGGCGATCTGGACTTGCCAGAACGGAGGAAGAGGTATACCAGCCGTAGGAGAGAGGAAGAGGAGGATAGACACACATGTCCATGTGGCAAATCGGAGGAGAGTAGACCCCACATAGTCGGGGAGTGTGAGTTGTACAGGGAGGAAAGAGAGGATCTCGAGGAGGAAATGAGACAGAGAGGGTGTGACATGGACAAGTTTGGTAAACTAGACAACAGCGAAAAAACGATCGCGATAATTGGGGATAGATGGTGGGCACAAGAGGCCCAAGAGGACGGGGATAAGATGTGCAAGAAATTTTTATGGAGTTTGTGGCAGAAACGTAAAGAGCTCCCAAATGTTGGTGGTGTCTCTAGTAGGGGTAGGAACGGTGCTCCGTCTCGAAAGGGACGCGTGGTCAATGGTCAAATGACTAAGGCAAGCAACAAATGAGTACGCCCACCCCCACCCCCTCGCTGTCCAACAAAACACACACGAACGGTACATCATGCTACTCTTCCTCGCTCCATCACACACACCTTGAGTGCCACCGTCATCCCGCCCCCCGTGAGCGGGTGCCTCATGTTCAGGGCGTCCCCAAGCAAGAGAGCTCCGGGGCGGTGAACGCTCGACGCCGGCATCGCCCTGTTCGGCATAGACTTGACGTCCCCGCGGGCGACCGCCTCCAGGAACGCCGGCCGGAACATCGCCGGGAGCTGCGGCGCGGACTTCTCCCTCAGGTGGGCCGAGAGGCCGCCGTCCGCGGCGCTGGGCATCGCGCCGGCGACGTCCACGAGGACCCGCGTCTCCGTCGAGGAGATCTGGTAGATGAGGATCGGGGACGGGTGGGCCAGCACGACGTGGCCGCAGTGCTTGTGCGGCACCGGGGCCGCGTCCGCGGCGTGCTTCACGAGGACCCCGACGAAGGTGGACAGCTTCTGGGGCCGGTTGGTGTTCGCACACTTTCGGAGGCCGCTCCAGATGCCGTCCGCTACCACCGTCAGCGGCGCCCGGACCTCACGGGTGACCCTCTCCTCCTCCTCCTGTCCCTCTCCCTTTGCCGCTTCGCGGTATCGAACTCCCACGACCTCGCCACCGTCGCCCTCGAGGAGGGCCGACACGGTCCCCTCGACCACCCTCACGTTCGGCTCCGCCTGCGCCGCCTCCCGCAGCCGCTGCACGAACCGGCAGTTGTGGAAGCTTCTCCCTCGCGGCACCTCCCCCTCCCGCGAGCAAGGCCGCCGGCCGGCCTCCCCGCCCTTCGCCGTCGCTGCGGCGGCGGGCTTGACGCCCTTGCCGAAGAGTTCCGACCTGTTCTCCGGGTCACTCTCGGGGTAATATAGCATCACAGAATCCCGCCGCCCTCCGGGAGCGGCGGCGGCTCCGCCGGCTTCGGCGGACCGGATGATCGCGTAGCCGTCCACGACCACGCTGTCCGTGCCCTCCTTCGCGCACGCGTCCAGCCCCAGGCGCTCCAGCGCCCGGAGCCCCCCCGGCTGCAGCAGCTCGCCCACGATCCGGTCCTGCTCGCTCATGCACCTCTCGACCAGGAGCACCTTGCGGCCCTGTCGAGCGAACGTGGCCGCGGCCGATGCCCCCGCCGTCCCCGCCCCAACGATGATAACCTCCGGCTTGTCCAGGCCGTAGTCCGAGGGGCCTTCTTCCGTGGGGGAGAAGTGTTTGGCGGGGCCGGCGGCGGGTGCCGCCGACCTGTCCTTTGGGCTGGGGGCTGGGGATGATAGGAAGGGGGGATCCATCACGCCCGAGATGATGCTGATGCCGAAGAAGCCGAAGAGGTAGGTCATGGAGGCGAAGACGCCGATGAAGGGCACGGCGAGCGGGAAGAAGTGCATCCGGTTCAGGGAGCCGTCCCACAGGCGCACGATGCGGTACATGGAGGCCGCGAACACCGCGACGGCAACGTAGTTCACGACGTAGAGCCTGCCCAGACGGGGGGGGGGGGGGCAACAAGCGTACACAGCAAAATAGGGAGCGCGACAGAAAACCACGAGGTTAGTGTACTGTAAGAACTAGTAGCCTTCTTGAGATTCTTAAGCTTGGTTTCAGTAGGTGGGGATGGAGGTTAGGGTAGGGATAGGGATACGAACACCTCCTCTGTATTTCGTAGCTAAAAAAGAAAACGTTCGCGAAGGCGGTCGGTAAGAACGTATACCAGGCATACACAGACATATGCATATCATACGATGAGCTGAAAACGCAAGCATGACAATCGACCACACCAGAGATATCGCATGTACAGCAGTATGGGTCAAAAATCGGACGCATGCGACGTGTTGCGCAAGCCAACAAATGCATGTGTGCCCTCTGGAGATATGCATGTAGCTCGGGTAGATATAATCTGTGTCTGTGGTGTTGGCCGACACCCATTTTTTTTCATCACTTTAGATTAGCGCTCACCAACAAGGACCATTACCCAGACACGGACATTCGAAGAGCGCGTCACACCGCTCCGCGTGCACGGCAGTAAAAAGTAGTCAAGGTAACATCTGTTCGTTCGATTCCATGCCGACGCTCTCTTCTCTCATGGTTCGAGAAAAAAAAAAGTTACACCCCGTCCGTCCCAGTCAAGGGAGGTTTTAGTCCTCGTGCGCGTGAACGTGTTCTTTCGAAGTTGCAAACAACAACATTCTACATTCTAACCCTAACCCTTGGACGCTACTTATTTTTCTGGAAACATGCGCCGTATTATCAAAGGTCAGGTTTGCCGGTCTTCTGGACGCCGTCTTGAAAATAGTATATACCAAGGGACACGCCCGCATGTCCTACGGCGCTTCAAGCCTGCCGGGTCCAAGACGCAACTGCTGTGAACTGCTGCTGACCATCCCACCTGGCAAGGTGTCCCTCCCAGGCCCGCCACCGGCGCCCGCTGCTCTCCAGGCCGTCTTCATTGTAGCAGTTGTTGTACGAATAACCTCTCGCCAGCCCTGCCGCTGCCTTGCCCATGGTGACCACACGGCCAACCTGCAGCATGGTGAACACGAGCACACCCGAGAGCAAACGGCACGTTTTGGACGGTGAAGGTAGCGTCTATGAAGGCACCACGCAGAGAGCGGATCAGAGATCCTGTGCAAGCCCGTTGGGGGTGGTCAAGTGGTGTGAGATTTGGACATTTCAGCGCGAACCATTTTGTTTTGGATGGAACGTACGTAAATGCAGAAGGGTCCGCGGCGGGTGTGTACAACCAACAACATTTTCGATAACTGAAGATGCCTGCAGAGACCAATGCCTGCACAGACCAAACGGCTTTTCTTGGACGAGTTGCGTCACTGTGGGCTGCCCTGTGGGCATGATCCACGGCAAACGGGTCGGAGTGTGTGCAGCAGGAACGCTGCTGAACTATTGTGGATAAACTGCTGTGCAGCAAGCGGCAATTGAACGGGTGTCGTCTCAGTTTTCCACGAGACCACCTCACGCGGCTCGAGGAAGCAAAGCGACACCTCTTGCCGGGGATCATGCGCCGAACTCTCGAAAGACACAACTGCCTCAAACATACACACGACGGCCATGAGTCGGTAGTTGCGCGTTCCCCGTCTACCATACCCTACACGCCATATGAGCTTGTTGCAACAACGTCTAACCCATCAACCGAACAATTTCGTAACAGACAGAGACGAACACAGCCGCGCCACACAGCGTTCTCACCTTGCAAAAAGGGTGTGATTCCGAAGAAACTCTCAGCGCAATAATGTCTCTGTGTAGCGTGGGTTTATCGGAAAGCAAACCTGGCCGTCGCCTACAACAAGCCTTCCCGAGGGAGATGGCACGGAGCGCGTCGATAATTTCTATAGTTGGACTACACAGTAGTAGGAAAAAAATATGGAGGCTTTTTTCGGCGCTTCGTCAGAAATTTCGGTTTCGCCGCGAAGCGTGAGTCGTGAGTCGCTCCCTGACCGACATGCACTCGACAGCTACTCTCTCGATCGACGAGGAGACGAGACAGAAGCTCTCGTGGCGGGGTTCTATCGTTATGATCATAAAAATTTGCTTATACTTTTCCCGTTGTAGGGGAGATTGTGCGCAGCAGGGAGAGCAGTGGCGCGGCGATGTACACGGAACTTGCAAAGTCGGCTATATGTCTGTCTGCTGTTGACTGTAGACGACGACAGCAGACAGCAGTACACCTATGCTGTAGTCTGCATATATTACGTATTGTAGGATCACAGTTTCAAGATTCCACAACTCAACTACTGTATTACGGATGTATGCATATGCATACGTACAGCCACCAGCAGCCTTCATCACTCACAGGCTCAGAATTTGTAGACGTGTAGCCGAGAGCCAACCGCCCACAGGCTGCCTGTAGACTTCACACTTAACAGCCACCAGCAGCCTTCATCACTCACAGGCTCAGATTTTGTAGACGTGTAGCCGAGAGCCAACCGCCCACAGAAAGACTACCCTACGGACAAATCGTACAATACATGATTTCAGTGTATGTATACAGGCTTAAATAAACTCAATGAAGCCCAGTACCCAGCCGGTTTCCCTCCACTCACTGCAAAGACTCCAACCCATCCCGTTCGACTGTGGTTATATCTCCAACACATCCCCTTCGTCTCTGTTTGCATTATTTTTCCTTATACATTTACGATCAAAGATCCTTACATGATTACGATCGAAGATCCTTGGAATGCAGATGGTCCGGTGTGGAAGACTACTGCTTTGTAGACTGACTCCCAAGGTAGGGAATAAAATTTGTCTTCATCGTTACAGCAGTAGCGGTCTACTTGGTCTACGTAGCTAACAACAGTCGAAATGGCCTTACTTCCGAGACAGAGCTACATAGCTACCGGAGTGCGCAGCTAGCGGCTGTTGTAATGTTAACTTGCTTGTAACTCAAAATATGTTTTGTAACTCAAAATATGTTTCGTATTAAGAGGAGAGGTGCAGAACGATTGAGCAACACTCAAATAAGTCGCGCACTCTCGCTCACACGAAAACGCAAATGCATTCGTATTTACAGCAGTATATCAATGTCAGGACACAGACCACTCCACGCGGAATCAACTACAGTGGGGGGCCCTCTATAGTGCCGGTACGTGCGCAGGGCGTTCACCGGCACTATAGCGGGCACCGGCACAACTGGGAATAGTGCCTCAATAGTGCCAAACGGCACTATTCGGGTGATCGATATCCCTCAGTAGTGCCGGTCTGGCACTACTGAGGCACTGCTGTTTGAGTTCATGGTGTATCGCTTACCATTTGCGAGGCCAACAGAGTAGCATGTGGATCGAGTGTGGTGAATATACTTTGTGGGCGGCAGGGGCAGCCTTTTCTGAGACAAATGTGGGTTCCACTCTGATAGCTGAGTTTGCCGCGAAACCATTCCCGCATGCACGCGCAGAATTCACCTTCGGAGCCAAACCCCGTGTACAGCTCCTGTCCGTGCAACTTAGTATACTTGAAAAAATATCACGTTCCTCGCTGCCTCCCTACGATGTTGCGTGATGAGACACGCCAACAAAACCAATAAACGCGCCAGCAACGAAGCGGACAAAAATAAAACAAAACAAAAAGAAAAAAACTGCGGTATAGCTGTCCCCCCCTCACTCATCAACAAACTCTCTCATGTCTGTCTGGCGCACGCCCTTAGCGGCATGCGCCGCGATCATCGCCATCTTCGCTTTCGATAGGTGGAACGCAGCGTCCCCGTTTCCACTCTCCCGCGCGGCCACCTCCAGGACGCCGAAGTGAGAAGACAGTTCACCGTAAGCCGGTGGGGCGCGGCGGCCGCTCCCCGTGTCCTCATGATCACTGTCCGCCTGCTTGTTTGTTTTGAAAAAAAAGCGGGTGCGAATATGTACACAACAGTGCTCTTTCAATTTCAAGGACAAATAATCGGAAGGTCTATGAGTGTGGACATCGAGGACCTCAAAGGCCAAAGACATAACAAAAAAAGGAGGTGACATGAAAAAAAAAAACACCATATGATACATACGAAAAGACGAAAAGGGAAAGGCAAAGAAACAAGGAAGGGCAAAAAAAAAAAAAGGTACAGCAGTAGAAATCGGCGACATGAGGGCATTTTTGAAAAATGGCGGGGAAAAACAACGTTCGAGAGGAAATTGCCAGGCATGTCGTGTACTCTACCTACCTCCGGAAAGTCTCCTCTGCGTGCGGTTTTCTGGCTTCCGTCGCCTGCAGCTGCCTTAGCCTCCACTTCCTTCCGTTCAGCGTTCACCTTGCAGACCAGCCGTTCCGAGCACTTAAAGCGATCTGCTATCTGCTCATGAGAAATCTTGGCATCCAGCAGCTTGAGGACCTCAACCTTGTCAGCGTTGCTCAGCCGCGCGCGAGAAGCCTTCTTCCCCCCCCCTTTCTCTGTCGGACGTTTAGATGGTCCCGCCCCAGCATCAACCCCAGCTGCGGTCGCTTTGCGCTTGCCAGTCTTAGCAGCGACGCAAGAACTGCAGATGCGGGATGTTTCGAAGTCACCCTCCACGCTGCCGCAAGTGCCATGGAGCCGCCCGCCACATCCTCCCTTGCAGACGTGGCCATGAGGGGCCTTCGGCGTTCTGTTCTGTTGAAGGCACAGTTCACCTTCCGCACACGGCATGGTGCGCCTCTGCGTAGAGCTGTGTTGGACTGCAGCAGCACGGTGTCTGTATTTTGGGAGTGTGGTGGTGTGTGTGCGTGCGTGTGTGAACCGGCACTATTGCGGGCTGACGTGGTGCCCAACCGGCACTATACCAGGCCCGCCCTCAATAGTGCCGTTTGGCACTATTGAGGGCGCTTTCTGTGTGGAGAGATTTTACCGGCACTATACCGGCAGTTGGCACTATTCAACCGGCACTATAGAGGGCCCCCCACTGTACTCAGCTCAAGTGGTAAAAACATTTGTCGCGCGCGGCCTCCTCCTCTTCCTTGCACGACCGCAACAAGAAAGAGAACAAATACAGCGCGCCGAGCAGCAGGCACAGCGCGCCGAGGCGCCTCGATCCCCCCGCCGACGCGTGGCTGAGCGCGCCCGTCGCCGCCGCCGCCGCAAGCTCGCCCGCCGAGAGACCGTGCGCCTTGCACAGGCTCTCCCCCACCGCGCGGACGCTCTCTAGCAACGCCGCCGTGCGAGCCGGTCCCGGTCTCCGCTGCCCCCAGAGACTCTAGAGCGAAGGCCATGTTGGGCGCGGTTGGGGCAAGCGCGTCGAGGCTTCCCAAGAGGTGTCGCAGCTCTCGGAGAAGCCGCTTGGTCGCCGCCTCGTATGTAGGCGAGGTCTTCTGCCCAGAAGTCCCACTGCTGAGGGTGTGCACTCCCGGAGCTGGGAGTAGCTTCGAGGGGGCTGCTGGTGGTGGAAAGGAGGTTGGGGGGACGGGGCAAACAATAAAAAAAATGGACATACAGAGAGGGCGTTCGGGGAGACAGAAACAGCAGTATTTTTCTGGGCGGGTGGCTGGCGAGTTTCCCCAGACAATAACCATGCATGCGTTAGGTGGAAAGGTGGAGATGAATCTATCTCTTACTTTTGCAAGAAACGCAGAAAAACCAAGTAAAAAGACATATCCCTGTGGCAGTAAGCGGCAGACAAGAGGTCGATCTACGAGTACCTGCTGCCGGCTAACACGGGCCCGCACCCCTGTACCTTCCCCCCCCCAACACGCATCACTCTTCGCTAACCGTGAAAAAATCAATCCCCCGCAAACTCACGTGTCTTGCCCCCCTCCTCCTTTCGCACTCGGTTCGCTGTCCAAATCGCCAGGCCGCCGCGCTACGTGCCTGTCGTACTCTTCCCAGCTCGGTCCCTCCCGCTCGAAGTACCCGTGGCTGCTGGACCGCGGAGACATCCGTCCAAGTCCCTCCGCAACTCCTCCTTTTCCTCCTCCTGCTGCCGGGCTGCCCACGCCCGCCTGCGAGCCGCCGCCGCCCGAGATCCGGTCGTGACCTCCAGGGGGCGACGCCGTTGCATGGCGGGGGGCGTCGAAGGCGGCGAAAAGGTCGCTCGGTAACTCGCCCATAGCGACGTCCGTGGGGCTCGACAGCCGAGGTTTGGGGGGAGCGGTTGCTGCGGGGCCCCTCTTTGGACCGTCGAAGTCGCCGAACATGTCACCAGAGAGCTCGCCAGACGCTACCGGAGAGGCAGCGGCGGTTGAAGCAGCAGCCTTCCTCCGGGGCGGCGTGGCATCAAAACCACTGCATATTTCACCACAGCTCCCCAGACGCTACCGTAGCAGCAGCGGCGGTCGACGCAGCGGCTGTCCGTCGGAGCGGAGCCGCATCGAACCCACCAAACATATCCCCTGAGAGCTCACCGGAATCCGCCTCCGCTGCGGGAGCGCCTGCCTTGGGTTTCATCAGCTTCATGGCGATGCCGTGGCTTTGAACCCCGCACCCACCCCCCCGCCGGACAAAACATCGCCCCCGCCCCCCGCGGCCCCGTTCTCGGGACCGGTCCGCCGGGCGAGCTGCCGCTCGGCGAGCTCCGCCGCCCAACCGCCGCCGGCGTCACTCCCAAGCACCTCCAGCGCCGAGATTTCCATCCCGTTCCGGGCCAGGTGCTGCCGCGGCCCGCCGCGCGTTGATCAGCAGGGGGTCTCCCGCCGCCCCGTCGCCACCGCCGCCGGCCGCCGCCGCTACCGCCGACCTGTCGCGGGCGGGCTTGCCTCTGCTCTCGATCTGCCGGAGCTTGGACACGAGGAAGGGTCTCATCGCGACCTCGATGGCGCGGTTGCACAGGTCGAGACCCGACAAGTTGGCCGCCGCCACTGTTGAGGAAACCCCCTTCCCCTCGACAGTCGGCGCCGCGGGGGCGGCGTAGGGGTCGTCGTGGTGGCCGGAGGCGACGAGGCCGTAGCACAGCACCCAGAGCGCTCGGTCCGGCTGCCCCAGCCAGAACAGGGTGGCGAACTCCTGGAATGGGTTGCGCTGGAGAGGGGATGATGATCGCTGCTGTCCCTGCGTTGGCCCATGCCTGGAAAGGTTGGAAGCAACGGGAAGGGTGCATTGGGGGGGGTTGGGGCATCATCAAAGCCCGTTGAAGCAATTTGCGCACCATGGGGGCGGAGGGAGGAGCGCGCGGTTGCTGGTCTTGGTGATTAAGTGAGTTCAACGGCTCTTTTTCAACGGTCGCTTGAGAGCATGCCTTAAGCGTCACGTCACCCGTTTGTCTCACTGTGACTCGCCCGGTTGCCCCTCATTCACATGGCACATCCTCATCCTCTATTCTGCTGCCAGTTTTCATCGCACTATTGTCTCCGCACTCTGTCTCTCTCTGTCCCTCTTCTCTCTCTCTCTCTCTCTCTGACTCTCTGTCTGTCTGTGTCTGTCTGTCTCTCTTTCTCCCTCTCTCTCACACACAAACTCCCCTTCTCCCTCTTTCTCATTCTCTTCCTCTCTATAATTGTAGCGCTCTCACTCACTCGGTCTCGCCATCAAACACGGGAAATAACTCGTCCCGCAGCAGCTTCCTAGACGATCCCCCGACAGACTTGTACGCAGCGGCGGCATCGCCTCCGGCGCCCCACTTTTCTCCCTGCGGTGCTTGCCTTGGTTTTTATCTGGGATTTAAAAACGCGAACAATTTCTAGTCATCGGGCATGTGCGTGTTTGCTCGCTTGCGATCTGTGTGTCCCCACTCTCGCGCGCACACGACGCGCAACAGAGAGTACCGACAGAGCCCAGCTCGGCCGGGGGCTGCACTGCTGAAGAAGGAACTGCTGTCATATGCATATGTATGCAATACTGCTGCTGTGCTCGCACGCCGGTTCGGTGCTCACGATCCCGCAAAAGCCTGTATCGGTGAGAAGCTGCCGCATGCTGATTTCCATGCTGCTCTTACCCTCACTCTTGCGACATGGATCAACCGCTGACTCTTCGCGTGTGCGTCCTGCAAACGGGAGGTTGCAATTGTTGAGTACGTCGGCTTCCAAAGCAATGTACATGTGTTTGCCGGTAGACTACAGCAATATCTCCATGGTAGCGTCTAGAAGGATAGTCTATGCTTCGCCAAATCCTTGGCCGTACGTCGACGCTGATGTAGAGTTGTATCTACTCCCCCCGGGATTGAAATGGACCTGTTGTGTTTACCACATTCCATCTCTTTTGGTTTCACAACGTTGCTGTGTAGAGTACAGCATCACGGAGAATCACATCCCACTTGTCTCGAACGACTGCTGTCGCGCTTTACTTGTTGTTTAGACAACCGACGTAGAACATCTCGGGGCAAGGAGAGCTGCTGCTGCACAAGGGCTGCTGCTGCGCGTGAACGTATGAAAAAGGCGGTGCAAATATGAGACAATTCTTCGAAGGTTACTACTGCTGTAGATTCCTACGGGCGTCTGACCAACATGACAAGAGACTGGCTGCACCCATGCTCACCCCAAGGCACATAGTAGCCCCATCACCACCTCTGCTGTCCGGCCTCGAAGAAACCATAGAGCTGTGCCCGCACCTAGCCCCTTCTCCTGCAATGTCTCCCCCAGGAAGCCCTCGCCGGCGCTGCTTCCAACGGCGACAGAAGCCTTGGGCGCGATGAACCCCAGGGTCACAACCACCTGGCACACGAAAACGCTCGCGACCAGTAGTAGCGCGGCAAGCCTGTGGGGAGCCATGAAAGGCGTTCTCACGACGCCTGAAGCTACTGCTCTATGATGTGTCCTGTCACAGCAGGCAGATGCACAGGACAGCAGACAGCAGCGAGTGAGACTAGGGGCCCCGTGTATGGTTGCACGTACCACATACACCTGTGCCGGAGCCGCTTCGCTGTCAAGGATCACGCCGCGCAGCCGACCGCTCCAGCAATCAGCCAATCCATGGCAGAAGCTCGCGGCGTAGATCTGCCAACGAGATGGGGTTGCGTGTGGGATCGGCGCAGGGCTACCGAGCTGGGCGGAGAACAGATTGACCAAAGATGCGGCCAGCCCCTTTGGTCGGAGACGTTCGCTCTTCGTCGGCAAGAGGTCATCATCATCATCATGTTTGGGGAGCGAATGCATGTGATCGGTTTTTTAACGGCCGTGTGTGCAACCGTTTCACACGCTCGAAGAGTCTGGCAGAGACACGCTATATCTTGGGGGATACCCGGTCCCTTCCCCGCTTTTTTCGGGACATTTCTTCCACACCGGCAAAGGCGCTTGACACGCCGCACATCTCAAAACGCGGGCGGGTTTTCAACACCCCATCCATCCCGATCTGCGACCGCGCGCGGCGGGAAGATCTGGCCGCGGCGGACTGGGAGAGAGGCGAGCAAAGAGAGAGGAGGGAGAGAGCAGCAAAAGCGCAGGTGGGTTTTGGTGTCTTCAAAAGCAGGCTTCAAGCTCGTGGTTGTGATTTTGACGCAATGAGATGAATAGGCCATGGGGACACACACGCGTTGTAGCTGTATCTTGCGCTTGGCGGGATCGAGTGCACCGCTAGCTGAAAGTCCCCCCCCTTCCTCACATTACCAGAGGGGTGCGAGGTCGATCGAGCGAAGGAGGGAAGCTGGTCAGTTCTTGAGAGCTGGTTAGATCTCGGAGACTTGTGTGCGCTTGGGTTCCTTCCCTCTAGGAGCCTTTTTGTCCGCAAGGTGCCCTTGAGAGAGGGAGGGAAACGAGTGTAGCTTTGCGCGAGAGAGTGCGACCACCCCCAGGTTGGCACACGGGCGGGTGCTGGCTGTGAAGATACTCCTTTGCAGTATAGCCTCTGGCAACACAAGGGGCTAGCGTTCAGTTGAAGCCTGCTCGCGGGAGGCGATGATCTACAGCTATGCATACGATCTTGCGATTTGGTTGAAGCCGGATATTCCTCCGAGATCTATCTCTGGCCGTGAATGAATGCCGGCACGGTCAAATTGCGTTACGTACAGATGGCGAGCGTTGCTGCAACCAACCCCACTTAGACTGAAGGGAGGCAACACCCGTCTGACATCGTACTGTGAGATACGGGGAGTCCATGGACACCGCGTGTTACCCTGGCCCCCGTTTTTTCGGCGAACCAAAGAGAGGGAATGCCCCGTACCACATATTGCATCCTCCTGTAAAAGCGCGCTCGCCCCACCTTTGAAAATACGAGTCTACATGTAGGGGCATTGAAGGGCCGCGGCGGGGCCCGGATCGCAAGCCCAAGTAAGGCACGGGAATGAGTAGAAGGTAGCAGGAATAACATGGAACCGGCAATCGCAGGTTGCTGCGGGCAACCGTGCTGTTTCTCGAAGAGGTTTTGTATCGGCCTTTTTTTGAACTGGTGTCTCGTTTCCAACAGGTGCCACCCTCAACGTATGTATAGTCTCAACTCTACAATTCTGTGCTCGCAAGAAAACACGCGAGCGAAAGAAGGGCCACTCAAAGTCACCTACCCCGGGCGCTTTTATGCCTTACTTCTGTACAGTTACTGTAGCGCCCGCAAAACAAAGGCAGGTTCTTTCCACGAAAAATGTGAAAGCAGGGTTAACCCTTTTGGGTCTTCAGGCGCGCTGACTGGTAGATCATTGATTGATCGTTTGTTTGCAAATGCTGGTGTGGTGGCATGCCATGGAGTTGCCACCCTGTATCCCTCCACGCCAGGTGTTGGCAAGTCCATGGGTAGGTGTGTCTTTATTAGTAGCATCGACCGCGCTAACCGGTGACCAATGACAAGACGTCAGTGCCAGCAATTTACTAAAACCAAGGTCCCTGGAAGGGTACCAAAATTCGAAAAAATGCACAATGCGCTACATGTCACGACAACCATGGCACTCACAATCGACGACCTACAAGCAGTAGAGATTCATGAAAAACAATTTTCTACTTTTCGAGCAATCATTTCTTGTACCATTGGAAGCTCGCCGGTGTCTTGTCACAGCCTGCTGGCATTAACCCCGGAGTCGATGTTCGCTTTACCCGTTGTACATGCATTGCTCGACGAGCAGGCCGATCGATCAGCTCCTGGGACGCGGACGAGATGGACAGCATTGCGCGCAGATGCAAGCTAAACCCCCGCGCCGCTAGCAGACCGCAATCGGGACCCTTTGGTGCAGAGGGGCTGGCTCGGCTACGACGAACGATCAGGTGAGCGAGCGGATACATACCTGATCAAACATTGCACTGATACAGGAGGGGGGAAAAAACGACGGATGAGGGGATGGGCAATCTGAGAGACGCTACATCCAACTTAATTCGGTCCTCTCCCTGTCGCTCCGTGTTGAATAATGTGGCACCTTGACTTTCACAACGTATTGCAGCGCTTGTGTAGCGGCCGTGGAGGAATGGGGGATGTCTCCTAGACAACGGCCAACCCCCCCCGTGCGATGCGTCACGAAACACCGGATTGCATTTAGTACTGTTCCGAATCATCAACCGGAGGACCATGCGGTCCACGGAGGAGAAGATACCATCTGCGATTGTACTGCGAGGACCATCGTACGCCGAATATCCGCGCCTTGACTCTCCAGTTTGTTTCGGAACCAACCCCCCCCCCACGCAAGGGTGCCCAAGGGTGCCGTAAAAAGTCATCCCGTACACCTCCCCCCCCCCCCCCCGGGGGGGCTAAAAAAAAATATTTTTGGGTTTTTTTTTCTTGGGGCATATTTTTTTTAACCCCTTTCAA